GTTAGCCAGGATGGTCTCGATCTCCTGACCTTGTGATCCACCCGTCTCGGCCTCCCAAAGTGCTGGGATTACAGGCTTGAGCCACCGCGCCCGGCCTATACTTTTTTTAATCAATAAAATGTCACTGAGCCCCTGAATTCTCTCTGTAATTTGCTTAGAGCTCCACTTCTCATGCTTTGTCTTCAATATGTGAGAAGTAATCCGCAGAAAAAAGAGCATTGAAACTTAGAAAATCAAAAGACAGGTGAGATGCAAGAATCACATTCTCGTTTTAAAAGCAAGATTGCCCTTTTTGTATACTAATAAAAATTGTAGCTTTTGAAAATACGTTTACTTTCGGGTTTTTGATCTCCTTTGTTAAAATTCGAGAGCTAGGCATGCTCTGTTTCTCATCGCCGTGAGGAGTCACAGAGCCGCTGTTTGGAGCACAGACCGCCGGACTGCCCAGGTTTGGGTTTGAGCTGTGTCCTCAACTGCATGACTGAATGTTACCAAGCGGTAATTTGCTGTCACTGAGAAAGCGGGTAGTACTACCCGGAGTTGTTGTAAGACTTAAATGAGTTAACATGTGGAAAGCAGCTAGAACTGCCCCAGCAAGTGCAGTGTGAATATTAACTAAAATAATCATTATTACTGTCCTTGCCACTGTTTGGGTAATTTAGATATGAATTCTCCAAGCTCGTATTCTTAACTAGTCACCACAGTGTCATAGTGCAAAAGAATGTTCAAAAATTAAAACAAAATTTGAGGCATCCAGCGTACACTGGGCTGTAATCAGAGTATCGGCCAGAGGTCTGTGGGCCTTTCTCCTCGCTGGGGACACTGCTCTGCCCCAACCTCTGCTGCAGCTGTCAGCCTCGTCAGTGCTTTTTGTTAGCCAGACTTTCTACTGTGTCTTAACTGTTCTTTCTATTCAGTTTTGCATATAATGCCTTCCGCATATCTTTTTCCTCTCTCCCCCAAAAAATATCTTGAAAAAAATAATGCATTTGAAATAGAGACCTAGCAATTGTTAGGTTATAAATGTTTGTGGGTTTTTGCAGGCATATATGGTGCCGGTTGTCTCATCACGGAAGGATGTCGTGGAGAGGGAGGCATTCTCATGAACAGTCAAGGCGAAAGGTTTATGGAGCGATACGCCCCCGTGGCAAAGGACCTGGCGTCTAGAGATGTGGTGTCTCGGTCGATGACTCTGGAGATCCGCGAAGGAAGGTCCGTGTCTGAGTGGGCACACGGGCCAGGGTTGCTTCTGTGAGTTCCAGCACCGCTCGCCCTCACCTTCGTGTGCAGGCACACGTGCACAGCCACCTCTCTCAGCTGCTGACAGGCGTCTGTTAGTCTGTGGTATTTTCTTAAAGACCTACATTTTGAAAATTTTAGCCAGTTTCTTTCTCAGATCTGTGGAACAGAGTTTCTCTTAGTGTGGGTGAGTATGTGACAGAGTGCGGGAGAGAGAGACGCACACGCAACCTGAAGTCGGCACGTGAGCCCTGGGTGTCGTGTCTGATGCCCACAGGTGTTTTTCGGCAGCTTTTCAAAGGGTGTGGGTTACTTGGCTTTCAGTAAAACAGTTTGCAGCTCTTTCATTCCTGACCCTGTTCTTTAATGTAATATCTGCTGGGATGGC